CAGTACATCAAGATCGATACATTCAGCATTGCATTTACCCGTCGCCCAATCAGGTGTCTTTGAAACGCTGCCATGCCTTACATTTCTATGTTCCTTTCCGGGTTCGTGGGTCGATCATGTTTGTGTTTAGGCATCTCAAGCATCATGGGGAGGCTCCGTGGCCATCTTGAGCAGTCATGGAGCGGTCTTGGGGGCTTGGGCTATCATGAGCCATTTTGAAAATCATATTGGACTCTCTGAGGCCCCTCGGGGGCCGCTCGGGGAACTCTTGGGGGCCTCTCGGGAGCCTTTTGGAGGCCTCTTGGGGCTTCTTGGGGCGCTCTTCGGGCCCTCTTGGGATACTCCTGGGATGACACATCGCGACCCCCTCCCCCAAAAACCTGTCGCCCAAAGGGCTTGTGGGATTACATGCTACTACGGTATGCGGTGTTATGGCATGCCATGCTTGGCTTTGCCATGTCATGCTCGATTGTGCTGGCCATGCAAGTAGATGCTAAGGTGCGCAATGTTACAAACGCTATGAAGCGCCATGGTACGCAGTCATCTAATACATGCTAGGCAATGCGATGTGCCATGATATGCGCTGCCTGGTTATACACTATATGGCTTGTACTGCTTGAAATTGCATTTCGCTGCCATGAATGCGTATGCGTCCGACGAAAGCAGAACCTTGATTGGGATCGCCACAGGCTCATGAAAGAGACGTGTTTACCATTGCAGTTCGTGGGGTGCTCACTTCCATTAGCAACGGGCCCACCTGGAAGCCAGCTTTCCAGTGCTAGGAGTCGGCGCAGTCTCCGATCAAATAGTGTCAGGCAGCCGCGTCTGTAGTCGTCTTCTCTCCAGCTCGGTCGGCGCGCGCGCGTGCGCGCGCGCCCCAGACCCCTTCATCCTCTCCCCCTCGCGTCCTCCGTCATCCGTCCTCCTCCTCCTCCTCCTCCCCCTCCTCCTCCTCCTCCTCCTCCTCCTCCTCATCATCATCATCATCATCATCATCATCATCATCATCATCCGATTCGTTTTCCCCCCCATCATTCCCCCCCATTCCCCGCTCTCCCCCCATCCGCCCTTGCCCTGCCCGCTTCCCACATCCCCTCCCCCCTCAAAATGGTCCTCGTTCCGCTGCCTCCCCCTCCAACCTCATGCCTCCGCCCACACCTTCATCCTTCCTCATTCTTCTTCCCTCGCTTCTCCTCTTCCTCCCTCGTCAGTAACTACTCCTTTTCCTCCTCCTTCCTCCCTCCATGCCCCCCTCCCTCCTCGTGTGAAGGACGGGGCGGGGAAGAGAGAACGGGGGAAGGGGAGACAATGGTTTGCAATGGCCCATGGGGGCAATGTTGAGGCCTTCTCTGGCTGTTCTGGGGCCCTCTTGGAGCGTCTTGGGGACCTGTTCGGCCGTCTTGGGGGACCTGGGGGTCTGATACCGTATGGGGCGAGCGTTTGCGACCCTCTTGGACATCTTGGGCCGCCTTGGGGCCATCTGGGGACCCTTCTGGGAACTGCTTGCGCTATTCTCTGGCCGTCGTGGAGCCATCTTGCGCAGTCGTGTCGACCGAGGTGGCTTCTTTTCTGACGTGGCGCCGGGCAGGTGCCCCCCCCTCGGGCCCGGCCCCCAGGACCGCCTCGTCAGGAAGGTCTTCCGCTGGTTGGGCGCCGCCATGCAGGAGGGCGACGCGGAGCTGACCGCCGTGGACGGCCACGAGGGGCAAGACATGGCGGCGGTGCGGTGCGACTGGCATGGATGCAAGCTGCGCTGGAGGAGCCACTGCTGCTTTCGCGACTGCGCGCGGAGGACATGCGGCAAACACGGGACATGGCTCGAGGTCGGCAGCGACACGCTCTGGGCCTGCCAGGAATGCGCTGGTCGGGGCGAGGCGATCTCGGGCTCGTGGCTTTCGGGCTCAGAGGAGGCCTCGGGCGCGGTCGCCGCGGCCGCGGCCCCCCTCACAGCGAGCGCGGCTTTGCTCTTCAGCCAGGCCAGCGGCTCGCAGAGCGCAGCAGCAGCAGCAGCAGCAGCAGATGACGGGGATCAGCATGACGGTGGAGGTGGCGGGGCTTCGTCCGGCAGCGGCGGCGCGGCCGCTGCAGCTCACGAGCAACAGGTGGCAGCACCTGTGGCGCAGCCGCTGCCACCGCCCCCACCCGCGCTTCCACCGTGGCGGGGGCTCGATCCGCACGTCCCCCACGAGCTATCATTATGGCGTGCAGGCAGTCACCTCTTCTGCGTCAAGTGCGGCTACTGGGCGCAGAGTGTCAGGATGTCGGGCTTGGCGAAGGCGTGTCCGAGGGCGCCCAAGAGCGACAGGCAGAAGGCGGTGCTCGGCCGCCTCAAGCGAGGGCTGCAGCCAGCAGGGCAGGGCGGCACCGGCGACCCTGAGCCCCTGCGACGCCTCCGCAGGCGAGTGGACGGCTAGCCTCTCTTACCCAGTTCGGGCCTGAACCATGTGCGCAGGCGCGCTTACGCATGGGATTGGGCCTGATACCGTCGGCAATGCAACAAGTCCCTTGCGGGGCCAGGAGCCTGGAGGACAGTTGCGCTGCTGACGGTCAGGTCGCCAGTCGCTGCCTTCGGCGGTCTCTCACCGCGGGCATGGCCTACGCTCGGTGCGCGCGCATGCAGCTGCCGCTTTAGCAACGGAAGCTGAACCAGTTGTGTAGGTTCGCCCTCACACGGGATCGGGCTCCGACTCTTTTGCAGCATGGTTCTGTGTTCGGTGCTGCCCTTTTTAGCAGCTGCGGCTGCCGCGCAGAAAGCTTCAGAGGATGCTGACCCAGGTGCGTAGGTCCGCCCACGCACGGGATCGGGCTCCGCCCATTGGCGATGCAGTAGTCCAGTGTGTGGCCTGGGGCCGAAGGGGCACGTTGCTCTGCTGATGGGTCCTGCGGTGCTTCACTTGGCTTGTCTTTTGCGGCGCGCTCCGTGCCCCGTTCTCCTGCCTCCTTCCCTTTCAGTTTCGTCCTGTTTGGCGGTGCTGGTGCTACGCAGCCAGCCCTGGAACTCGGGCCGTGGGGTCCCGCCAGACAGGTGATACTGTCGCATTGCCGCTGCCGACCTCTGGCGGTGCTGGTGTCTCGCAGCCAGCCCTGGAACTCGGGCCTTGGGGTTCCGCCAGTCGAGAGGTGGTGCACTTGTCCAGTGGGGGGAGGGGAGCGGCACGGAGGTGGCCTGGGTTTGCCAGGCCGCTTTGACCGCTGCCACGTTTCCCTCCCCACCCTTGCATCTGCTTGCTGGCCAGCCACGTGCCCTGGCCCAAGGGCACCGACTCAGCCGCATCAGGCGCGACACCACAGCGCGCGCGGGAGATGCGCGTCGGGCTGGGTCGGGGCGATGGTTCCGATGCCCTCATATGAGGTTCTTTTTGTTTCGGCGTATGTGCACGCCTCCTGCGCAATGTAGCTTCTGGCGCTACCGCGTCAGTGCCCCGCCCGTCACTCGACGTGGAGGGCGACCCGAGAGCGTAGGTTCGCCCACGCTCTGGTTCGATCTCCGCAGGCCTGAGGAGCAACGTCGGCAGCAGTGGCCTGGTCCTGTCGACCTAGTTGTGTCTCAGGTGCGGCGTACAGCCCAGCTGTGTACCAGCCTGCTAGACCGCCAGCGTGGCCTCCGCCAGCTGCCGAGCGTGCTGAGTCGCTTCGGCTGCTTGGATCCGTCACCCGCTTGCCTCGGCTGAGGCGGCTGATTGCTCACGGCATTCGGGCGATCTGCGTGTGTGTGTGTGTGTGTGCTGAGGCACACGAGACAGAGCGTTGCCTCCGCAGGGCCATAGGGAAACGCCTCGGTCCGAGGGTCAGTTCGAGCTAGGAGCTCCTGACCCCTTCAGACGCGGGGATCATCATCATCAGCAGCAGCAGCATCATCATCATCACTATCATCATCACCATCATCAGCATCATCATCCTCATCATCATCACCACCAGCATCATCATCAGCAACATCATCACCAGCAACATCATCTGCATCACCATCATCATCGTCATCGGCACCGTTATCATCATCAGCAACAACTATATCAGCGTGACCATCAGCAGCAGCATCAGCATCATCAGCAGCAATATCATCATCTGTTTCCTGCCCCTCCCCCTCTCCCCTCGCCCCCCCCTGTCCTCCCTTCCTCCCCCTTCAACATGTCGCGCATGTCGCGCCGCGGCTTCGCGGCTCGCCCGTCGACTGGGCTCGAAGGGCATGCGCAGGACGATCCAGACTCCAGCACCGACGAGGACCAAAGGAGGAGGAGGAGGAGGAGGAAGAGGACGACGACGAGCAGGAACAGGAGAAGAAGGCGGAGGAGGAGGAGGGCGAGAAGAAGGCGAGGAAACAGAAAAGGGGGATGAGTAGTACGAGGAGGAGGAGGAGGAGGAGGAGGAGGAGGAGGAGGAGGAGGAGGAGGAGGAGGAGGAGGAGGAGGAGGAAACCCAATGTCATCAGGAAATCAGGAGGAGGAGGAGGAGGAGGAGGAGGAGGAGGAGGAGGATCCATACGCAGCCAGTTCGGCTCATCACCCAGCGGGTGGCCGCGAGGGGGTCAGCAGATCCAAGCTGTGGTCTGCGCACGCTCCGTGATCCAGGCCCAGGTCGGGGACAGCTGGGCCGCGCTCCCGCTATTTGGGCCTCCCACCTGCTGCCAGCGGCACGCACTGCGAAGTGCGTCTCCTCGCTCTGCGTGCGAAGTGCGTCTCCTCGCTCCCGCCCTGCCCGCGAAGTGCGTCTCCTCGCTCTGCGCGGCCGCGCAGCGGGACGAGCTCCGCCTCCGCTGCAGACACGACGGCAGCGCGAGAGGGCCTCTGGCCGTGCCCGGGCTTGGGCGGGCGACGCGGCGCCACCCAGCGTTGGACCTGAAAGGCCCACGGGCCCGCCGGCACCAGGAAGCGAGGCGACTTCGCGCTCGCGGCCAGCGTGACCTCCACCGGGCCACCGGGCAGCGCGGCGCCGCAGGCCATCCCGCCGCCTGCTGCGGCGGGGACGTCGAGGATGCTAGAGACAGGTTGACCAGTCAGTCGGCGATGGCCGAGAAGCTGCCTGTGGCGCCGCGGCAGGTGCCCACCTTGTCTCCAGAAGGGCGGGTCGCCGCGGCAGTGGGGGTGTGAGCCAGAAAACTATCCGTGCCCAGGCGGGTGGCCTCCACGCTGAAGCCGGGCGCGAGGACGAAGGGGCGGCTCCACCCTCGCAGGGCGAGAGAGATGTCGGAGAGACGGCCCACGCTGGGGCGGCCCCTTTTACCCGCCTGGGAGTGGCTGGGCAGCAAGATGAGGCCACCTTTGATTCCGACGTCCGCGTGTCAGGCCGCGAAGTAGTGAGGAACCAGGTCGAAGGCGTTACAGGCAGTCCCCGCGCCTAGCAGAGTCGTGACCGAGATGTGTCGCCGCACAAAGAGGCCTGCCCCAGCCGTGGCACGACCAGACTCCAGGCGCCGACACCAAGAGAAAATGGCGTGCCACCCGTTGCGCGCTGCCCGCCCTTGCCGCCCTGGTCGAACTTCGCCTCCACCAGTCAGTACGAGGCTCTTGAGCAGCAAGCAGCTCTGATCCGAACTGGGCACGTCTCCAAAAAGTCGCGGCAGGATGAACACGAGGACCTACTGCAGGCAACTGAGCCCACATCCTGCCTAGCAGCCCGTCGCGGCGCGCAAGCTAAAGCCGTCCACGCATTCGTTCTCCACGCTGCACTGGTTGCAGCACTCGCTGGGGTGGCTGGGGCGGGGCGAAACGCCGCGCGCTGGCTGGCGGGCGCAGCAGGGGCGCCCGCGGGCGCCGTGGGCGCAGCCGCCGTCTCGGCCGCCGCGGTCGCGCTCATCTGCAGGGCCCTCGCTGCGGGGAAGGCCGCCCCCATGGCCGTGACCTGCGCGCTGATGGACTCCAGCAGCTGGGCACTCCGGCTGCTACCGACAGCCACTTGGGCGCTGCCGCAGAGGGCACGCGGGCTGCACAGGGCGCCACCCTGGGCAGTCGCCATGCCGCCAGGTCGAGGCCGTCGCTGCCCGCTGCCGCCGCCGCCACCGCCTGCCTCGCGGCCGCCACTTCCCCTTGCAGCGAGCCTACCTCCTCGGCCAAGGTGGCCTGGCGGTCGACGAGGCTCGCGACAGCTGCCTGAGCCTTTGTTGCACAGGCGCCCGCCTGCTCCTTCTCGGTAGCCCTGGCGGTGAGCCGGCCTCGTGCGCAGCGCAAGAGGCCTCCATGGGGACCTGGACTTGCGCTCCTCGGCGCCCAGCACTGGCCAGCTCGTGCGCGGCCGCGGTGGCGAGCGGGCGGCCCTCGTCGCCGCCCAGCTTCATGAGGGCAGCCAGCCCCTCGCGAGCACGGGCCAGGGAGAGGCGGCTGTCTGGCGCCTTCTTCTCCCGAGCCGCTCGTGCCCGCCGCTCCGCCACAGCGCGTGCGCCGCGACGACGACGGCGAGCAGCAGCCGCTGCAAAAGCGGGTGCGCGGCGGCTTGTCCTGCCCGCCCTTCTCCCGAAGAAGACATGAAGAAACGCGGCCGCGCGACGCCGACGTCCTCAACCCGGGCCCCCCCGGACTGCCCTGGGACGGGGAGGGGCTTCCTCCTCGGCCCCCCTTTCTGGCTCGTCCGAATCGTATGTCGGTCGTGGCCACGCTTGCCGTGGCTGTGACTTTGTAGGTCTCTGTCTTCTTCCTCCTCCGAGCTCAGAGCTCCGCGCCGCTCTCTTGGATCTGAGCCGGGCCCCCTCGGCGCCCCATGGCGCCCAGGAGCGGGGCCGGCGCAGATGGCCGAGAGCTCCGCGCGGAGCTGCGACGATTTGGGCGCGTGCTGCCTGCTCTTCTCTTCGATGCTCGGCCCTGGTGGGGGGCCCAGAAAGATGCTCCACCAGCACCTCCCCCCCCACCCCCCCCAGCGGTGGAGAGAGAGAGAGAGAGAGAGAGAGAGAGAGAGAGAGAGAGAGAGAGGAGAGAGAGAGAGAGAGAGAGAGAGAGAGAGAGAGAGAGAGAGAGGTGGAATCGACGTGGTGGCGGTGTGTACTCTTTGGGCCCCCACTGGTGGGCGGGAGGCGCCCAGCACGGCCCAGCCCGCACTTCCGGCACCGCCTCGACCGCGCAGCGCAGCGGGCTGTCTGAGCTCGCGCGGGCGGCCGGCGACGCGTGGCCGGGCCTTCCGCAGGCGCGCCGCCTGCGGCTCCAGGCGCCCGCCACGGCGGCGTCGCCGGCGTGGCTGGGGAGGGGCCAAAAAACACTTTGCAGCCGCAGGCGAGAGCGCCAGCGGCGAGCAAGGTCCAAGCGGGCCGCGCGGGAGCCCAATTGCCTAGCGCGGAGCAGAGCAGGACCTACCGCCGGAGGAAGCCGCAGCGCCGGGGCTGCGGGGCAGGGCAGGACCTACCGCCGGAGGAAGCCGCAGCGCCGGGGCTGCGGGGCAGGGCAGGGGGTGGGGACTGGGACAAAAAACACACGCAGACACAATGAATCGTCGATTCCCAGGAAGATAGAGGGAAAATAGGGGAAGTGGGGGGGGGGCAAAAACGAAAGCCCCGAAAACATGTGGGAGAGTATAGGGGGCATCCTGCTATCCGTGCGTGTTCACTTGTGTGTCCTGGGGCCCCTTCCATGGCGCCCATGCTTGAACGAAGGATTGCAAAAAACGAAGGATTGCAAAAAAAAACAGTTTTTTTGCAATCCTTCGTGCAAAAAACGGGTTTTTTGCAATCCTTCGATGCTCTCCGTGAGGGGCTGCGGCCCGCGCCTGCCGCACGAGCAGGCGCGGCGCCGCGCGGGCCCCGCGCGCGCGCACCTGCCGGGCCGGAGAGCGGTCGGGGCCCGTGGGCGAGCCGGGGAGGCATTGCCGCCCAGCTGGGCGGACGGCTGGGGGCTGAGCAGGGAGGGCCGCTCTGACTGGCCACGCCTCGGAGGACGAGGAGGCGGCCTGGCGAGGAGACGAGCGGGAGGAGGAGGAGGAGGAGGAGGAGGAGGAGGAGGAGGAGGCGGCCAGGGGGAAAGACGAGGAGGAGATGCAGGAGGAGGAAGAGCAGGAGACGGAGGACGACGGCGAGCTGCACAAGCACAGCGACGAGGCTCCATGACTGGACCCCTTGGGGCGGGGGCGCGGGGGGGAGGGGGCGCTTGGATCCCCGCCGTGCAGTCCTGCACCGTTCGCCCACTCCCGAAGCAGGAGCCGGAGTGGGAGAAGTGGCTGCCCCTGTGGCCGCTGCTGCTGCCCTTCCCGCGGCTGCCCGACGGTGCCACCGTGCGGGGGCGGCAGGGGCACCTGCGGCTGCGCCCGCGCCTGCTGGCGCACTGGGCGCGCTTCTGCTGGTGCGCGCTCTTCGCCCTGGCATACTTTCGCTGCCTCGGCCAGCGCCGCGACTCCTCCGAGTTCCTTGCCGGAGAGGCCCAGGCCTGCGCTGGGGAACGCGCGCGCCGCGCCGCGCGCCTGCGGGGGGCACGGCCCAGAGGCAACCGTGGGGGCGAATAGCCCTGGGGGGAGCAAGGCACGTACCCAGGGGCGCCGATGGTCCTCTCCGGCGAGGCCCCCCGGCGAATGCGTGAAACGCTCGCCCTTGGGCTCTTTGCCTCTACCGTCGCCGCCACACGACAAGGGCACAAATTCACCACATCTTGGGTTTGGAGTCCATGCGCCTGGCCAGGAAGGGGGGGAAGGCGCAGCGGTTCGATTGGTTCGCCCTGCACAGGAGGTGCGCGATGAGTTTTTCCCCGACGCCGGCAAGACCGGCGAGCGCCTCGCGGAGAGCGAGGTGACCCCCGGCTTCAAGGTAGCGTTGCATGCGGACGACGTGGCGGGGGATGGGGGGGTCTTGTTTGAGCACACCCTCGACGCTGCATGCCGAAAGTACGCTTGCCCACGACGTTGCCCCACGTGGGGCGCTGGGCGCCACATTGGGCGCCCAGAGCCTCTGATTAGGCAGCGCACACACGGCCGGCGGGCGAGTCGACCCAGCAGAACGGGGAAAACCAAGCTCAAGGGGCAGCAACAGGGCCCCGCCACGCTCTGCACAAGGGACCCCCGGCACTCCTTGTACAGAACAGACAACGACAGGCCCCCCGCCGCCCCAAGGACCCGGGAAGAAGGTTTTGGACCCCGGGGCCGAGAAACAGCACGACGAGACGACGGACGACGACGAACGACAGGGTGGAAGAAGGACCGCCGGACCCGTCCCAAGGCGGCGAATGTGGGGAGTGAGCTCCCGCCCCGCCTTGGGGGAGGACACGGGAACTAGCGGCGCCCTGGGAAGGAACGCCCTGGTGCGGGGGATTGGGCCCCGAAGGCCCGGTGCTCCCTTCCTGCGCCAGGGGGCACGTTGACCCAACACCCCGCTTATGGGGGCGCCCCCTCGGGGCATGGAAGGGGAAGGGGGGAGGAAAGGAGTGGAAGCGAGAGGGGTGGCGGAAAATTTGTGGACCATAGTGTCTGCTGGTCCGCCCGCTGCACCATACGGCTGCGAAGAAGTTGACTCAGTGGTGGAAGGCAGACCTCGAGGCATTACCGGCACGAAGCACACCAGTGTTCTATTCGGACGTCGATAACGGCATCGGCCTGGCCCAGCAGAACAAGACGTGGAGCAAGGTCGAACCGGACGGATTGGGCTCCACGGTGTATTCTGGGAACGTCGACGGCTAGCCCGTGGTGCGTGGGGCCCCAGGCGTCAGAGTCTGGCCCTATCCAGCGCCCTGGCGGCCTTGACCGTGAGCCTGCTCATGGGCAGGATTTTGCCCCTGCGAGTATCGTGCCCATATGAAGGGGGGCGGGGAGAATCTAGGTTGTGCATCGGCCCCCTTGAAACTGGGCCCCTCAAGCGGCGCACGTAGCGGCGCTATGGGGGTGCTCGGCGGGGCAGCGCGGGCGCTTTGCCCGACGAGGGGGCCGCCAATCAAAACAACGCGTTCGTTTTCACCGCTCAGTGATGCTCAACAGCCAGCTTTTTATTCCCAGGCCTTTCAAGAGCTCCCGAATGTCAGCGAGGTGCTGCGCTGCCGCAAGCTGACTCTGATTCTTCTGATCTTGCAGCGCATGCCGATGAAGGCGTCTAGGTGGTCGTCGAAGAAGATGCGGGGGAGGAAGCTGAAGGTCCGCTTGGGCTCATAACCCTTGTGGACTATAGTGTCTGCTGGTCCACGAACGGGTGCGCATAATACGTATGATTTCTCATCTGCACTGATTCCAAACAAAACCTCCGACCCAATGATGTCTTCCAGAGCGAGCACAACCACCTCTCGAGGTAGTGGCTGGATCACTCGGGCCCTATCCGGGAGGCCCAAAGCAGCCCTCAGGGGCCGCTCCATGGTCAGGGCGAGGCGCGCATCCCAGAATCTCCGAGAGGCCACGCTCGCACCGCCCTTGTGGTTCCGAGGCCGAGGCATGAGGGGAGCGAGGAAAGGGCAGTTTTCCTCGTGTCCCGAGCCAAGATGGTTCGGGAGCTCCCCTTGCGGAGCTGGAGCCCAGGAGGCGGGGTCGCTCCACCTGGGCGCCAGCATCCGTGGGAGGCGGGCGAGGGCAGCACCGGCCTCCACACCGCTTCCGTCGCTCCATGCTGTGAGCTCGCTTCTCTGTCTCTCAGCCTTACGCCCGCCGACGGGCGCCCAGACCGTCACGCCCAGAGAACCGTAGACGACGCAAGCTCCTCCTCCTCCTCCTCCCCCTCCTCCTCCTCCTCCTCCCCCTCTTCCTCCTCCTCCTCCTCCTCCGCAAGCTGCGGGAACCTCCACCCCCGCGACAACGACTCACTCAGAGTGGCCCCTCCGGGTCGTCCGGGGCTCCGTCGGCCCGCGAGACCAGGGGGAGACGGCGCGGCACGGCGTCCCGGAACCGGCCGGTGGCCTCGAGAGCCATCCGGCGGCCGCCGGAAGGTCACCGCCGGCTGGCCGGGCAAGCGTCACCACACTCTGCAATCGCGCTCCCTCCGGGTCCCAGATATGACGCGGCCCACCCCCATGCATGTAAGTTTTCGAGGTGGATTTTATCATTGTGCAAGTCGTACTTCTGTTCCCTGTGCCTTTGCCAAGCGACGTGCGTTCATTTGCTCCCGCGGGTCGCACGACAGTGTGCATCGTGTGAAACGAGGACAAACTTGCGTTCTTAGTTCCCTGGAGAGCTCTCCAGGGAGCTAAGACGGATGCTTACAGGCTTACCCGGGGCATGCAGGCGGTTTGGTCGGGCACAGTTTTGCAGCAGCCCCCCCCCCCCCCCCCCCCCCGCGTGCGGAACATGAGCCCCCCCCCCGCGTACGGAACATGGGAGGGAGGGAAGGAGAAAGTTCCGAGGGCGGGCGGAGGCGGGAGGGAGGGAGGCGAAGACGCTGGTCTGGCTTCAGATGTTCTGCATGGAGAAGGCGGGCTCGGACGACCACATTCCTTGGGCATGGCGGTGCGCTCTCGGCTCCGTGGAGATCGGCAAGACGCACCGGGCCCCCTGGAATATAATCAACAATTCGCGCCTGAACAGGGGCGACAACGCGGATGATGCGGCTCGTCTTCTGAAGCATATTTGCAGGCGCAATTTTCTCATCAAACACATCGTGTTTGGAGATGACCCCGCAGACGTGCCTTTCGGTGACATCACTGCGTTACATAAGCTCCTGCAAAAAGAGGTGACGAATGTCAGCAGCGTTGCGGTGGCAGAGGAGTTCGACGAGTGCACCGTGCTGTCTGGGAATCCGATGATCGAAATCGTCACGGACGGGGCGATAGCGTCACGCGAAGCAGGTGCTGCGCGCATCGCGCGCAGGGCCAGGTCGCTGTCTGGGCAAGGGGGGCACGAGCCACTCGACGAGAACAAGGGGCCGCATTTGCCCACTTGGTGCTATCATTCGTCCTTCTCTGTGTTGCGCTTGGTGTTCCTGGCAATTCAGGCGAACGACTTGGACTACGATGGTAAGCTCGTCCATGCGGAGTGCGAGTACTTCCTGGACTACCTGAACATAACCGACCAAAGTGTTAGGGAGTTGGTGGTGGAAAGAATGGACATCAACGGTGATGGGGCCGTGAACTATACAGAAGCCCTGCTGTTCAATCGATTCGCTCATTCCGCCAGCCCACAGTGTATGTAGTGTCCAGTGGTGGCCTTCGGCCAGACTGGGTCGTGGGCAAGGTTCCTTGGGAAGCTTGTTGGGGTCTCTTGGGAGGTCTCTGGGGTGCCTCGTGGGGCAACTGGGGGCTTTTGGGAGCCTCTTGGGGCCTATCGGGTGTGTCTTGGGTGCCTCCGGAGGCCTCTTGGGGGCCCCTCGGGGGCCTGCTGCCAGTATCGGGGGCCATCTTCGGGGCAGCGGGCTCCAAGTGGCAGTTCGGATGCCCCTCTGAGGGGCCTCTGGAGCCCTCTTGGGGCTTCTGGGGCTGTCTTGCAGCCCTCTCGGGCCGCCTTGGGGCCGCCCTGGGAGATCCTGGGAGGCTATCTTTGGGCGGTCTTGGGGGCCTCTCGGGCCGTCTTGGGCAGCCCGAGAAGGAGGCAGCGCCGAAACCCTTGGAAACTATATATGAAAACCATCGAAATGGAGCCTCCCGGGGCCCTCACGGAACTTCCTTTTGGACTATCCTTGGGGCTATCTTGAGGCCTCTCGGGGCCGTGTTCGGACGATCTTGGGGCCTGCCGCCCATCTGGGACTCTATAGGGCCCTCGTGAAACTCCCTTGGGGTCTTGGGGCGCTCCTCTGGAGCGCTCTGAAAGGACCTGGGGCACCTCCCCTGGGAGTTCCGGGCAGCCTTGGCGGGCTTCTCCGCGCCCCCCGGCCCCCCAGAGATTGGCCCGCGCGCGCGAGTTTGACATGCGCTTGCCCTGCTACTCCGGAGATCTTTCCACGCCTCTGGACCGTTGGGGCAGCGAATTCTTCCGCGACAGAAAAGACTTGATCGCCCACTACACTGACACGTACTTGGATCCCATATGCCGCAATCACCATTGGGGCCTCATGCACGCATGTGGCCCAGAATACATCAACGTGAATTTTCACATAGAGCAGGCCCACACGAATGCGGATGCTAACGGCCAGCACTCGAAGACATCGAGAAATGCATATATTGATGTGAATTTGCATTTCACGGCTAAACGGAGAACAGGGCACAAAGTAACCACTGGATGGTACAAGGCCGAACTCGACATCGAAGCCAGCATTTGTTATGGAAAATTGGGTGGCAGTATGTTCTTTTGGGGAGTCGTGACCCTGGTATTATTCATATCGCTCTTTCTATCTGAAGTGCTTTGCACGTTATGGCGATCACCCGTTGTGCTGTGGACATTGCTGGTACCTGCAAAGCGGCAGGAAATCGTATCATTGCTCGACGTGCGTTCGCTATTCGCGACCTGGATCGATGGCCGCGGGGTGAGGATTAGATTTATGGGCCCTCTGTTGGTCATTTTGGAGAACCTAGCAACTGTAGCGTTTACGATCGCCGTTTGGTATTCGATAAGCAATTCATTCGAGGCCACGGTGCCTAGAATGGGACAAATATCTGATGAATGCGAGTCTGTATATGAAAAGAAGATTCTGACCTTCGCGGCCCAGATGCATCGTGAGAAAAAAGGAATTGCCCATGACGGGTCTCGACTGATCTCGCCGGTGGAGTTCATCACGCACTGCTCGGAGGGCGATGTGTACAGGTTAGCTGCGCTCTACTATGAAATATTGTTTGATTCCACGCGGGTCCACGGCCTCGCTCTCTTCCTTTTCCTGTGCCGATTGCTTGATGTGTGCATGGCTTTCGAGGGTACCGCTTGGATTGGCTATACTGTTGCACTAGGAGCGCGCAAGCTCTGGTGGTTTCTCGTGTTCTATTTGCTTGTCATCTGCTGTTTTGCCTCGATCATGGAGGTGTCGTTTGGCAACAACTTCTTGCAGTTTAGGTCTCTCCCCCAGTCCTGCCTCTCACTGATACTCTTCACTTTCGGCCAGACCGAGAATGCCTTCAGGGGCGTTCAGAGCATGGAGGAATACCACAGTTTCTGGGTGTCGATATACATGCTGGTGTTCGCGATCATGGTCGTCACAGTGGCTATGCAGTTTTTCGTTTCCTTTGTTTTGGACGCTTACAACACTGTCCAAGATAATATGGCGCATCATGAGAAGAACCACGAGGAGTTTCGCAACGTGTATACCTCTATTGCCACGATGTTCTTCCCGCAGGCCCTGATCCTCATCCCCCTTTTCCTTCCGCTTTTTCCCGAAAAGGGCAGAGGCCCACGGTTTTCCTTGAGAGTTGATTAATTACCCCAGGTGTCGACTTGAGGTGGGCCGGCGGACATATTCCTGGTTGAATATCGAGGTCGAGGTGGGCCGTCGGAATTATGTTTAAGGATGTTCCAAGCGAAGCGCTGCTTTTTTCCCGGAAAGGGCGTGGGCCCAGGGTTCTCTTTTAGTTTGTAAACTTAATCCCCCGGTGCCTGCTTGAAGGAGGCCGGCGAATTGCCGGCGAATTTTTTCCCTGATAAATAACGAGGTCGAGAGGCCGGCGAATTGCCGGCGATATTTTTCTTTGCGGATGTCTCGAGCGAAACGCTTGTTTGTCATGATTTGTGTGAGGATGTCTCGAGCGAAACGTTGTTTTTGGTTATAGATTGTCCTCTCCTGGGGACCTGAATTCTGAGGCACACCTCGACCACCTCCCAGGCACGACCACCCCCCAGCCCACGACCACCCCAGCAAGACCACACCCCAGCACGACCACACCCCAGCACGACCTCACCACAGCACGACCACTCCCCAGCACGACCCCACCCCAGCACGACCACGCCCCAGCACGACCACACCCCAGCACGATCACACCCCAGAACGACCACACCCCAGCACGACCCCACCCAAGCACGACCCCACCCCAGCACGATCACACCTCAGCACGACCACACCCCAGCAGGACCCCACCCCAGCACGACCCCACCCCAGCACGGCCCCACCCCAGCAAGACCACACCCCAGCACGACCACACTCCAGCACGACCTCACCACAGCACGACTACTCCCCAGCACGATCACGCCCCAGCACGACCACGCCCCAGCACGACCACTCCCCAGCACGACCACCTCCCAGCACGACCACCCCCCCAGCACGACCACCCCCCAGCACGACCACCCCCCAGCACGACCACACCCCAGCACGACCACACCCCAGCACGACCACACCCCAGCACGACCCCACCCCAGCACGACCCCACCCTAGCACGACCACACCCCAGCACGATCACACCCCAGAACGACCACACCCCAGCACGACCCCACCCAAGCACGACCCCACCCAAGCACGCCGGAAAGGGCAAGAGCCCAGGGTTCTCTTTTAGTTTGTAAACTAGTTGTACGATTTCCTGGAATTTTGGCAGGATGTCTCGAGCGAAATGCACGACCCCACCCTAGCACGACCATACCCCAGCACGACCACACCCCAGCACGACCAGACCCCAGCACGACCCCACCCCAGCACGACCCCACCCCAGCACGACCATCCCCCAGCACGACCACACCCCAGCACGACCCGACCCCAGCACGACCCTACCCCAGCAAGACCACACCCCAGCACGACCACACCCCAGCACGACCTCACCACAGCACGACCACACCCCAGCACGACCACGCCCCAGCACGACCATGCCCCAGCACGATCACGCCCCAGCACGACCCCCCCCCAGCACGACCACCCCCCCAGCACGACCACACCCCAGCACGACCACACCCCAGCACGACCACACCCAGTCGCACCCCCGTGGAATGTTTCGTGGGTGTCTCGTGGAATGTTTCGTGGGGTGTCTCGTGGAATGTTTCGTGGGGTGTCTCGTGGAATGTTTCGCGGGGTGTCTCGTGGAACGTTTCGCGAGGTGTCTCGTGGAATGTTTCGCGAGGTGTCTCGTGGGATGTTTCGCGTGGTGTCTCGTGGGATGTTTTGTGAGATGTCGCCCAGTTGGGTATCGTGAAAACGTGACCATGCTGCGCATGTCTATATCCCTTTCCGGGTTCGTGGGTCCATCATGTTCCCGGAAAGGGCGCGGGCCCAGGGTTCTCTTTTAGTATGTAAACATGTCCCCGGTGCCCAATTTGAAGGAGGCCGGCGAATTTTTTCCCTGATGAAAATCGAGGTCGAAGGAGGCCGGCGAATTAAAATTTGAGGATGTCTCAGGCGAAACGCTTGTTTTTGAAATCCCGATCGATAAATCACAGGGTGCGGGACACCTCAGCACGACCACACCCCCAGCATGACCACACCCCAGCACGACCACGCCCAGCACGACCACGCCCCAACACGACCACACCCCAGCACGACCACACCCCAGCACGACCACACCCCAGCACGACCACACCCCAGCACGACCACACCCCAGCACCAGCACGACCACACCCCAGCACGACCCGATCGATAAATCACAGGGTGCGGACCACCCCAGCACGACCACACCCCAGCACACCCCAGCACGACCACGCCCCAGCACGACCACACCCCAGCACGACCACACCCCAGCACGACCACACCCCAGCACGACCACACCCCAGCAAGACCACACCCCAGCACGACCACACCCCAGCACGACCTCACCACAGCACGACCACACCCCAGCACGACCACGCCCCAGCACGACCACGCCCCAGCACGACCACACCCCAGCACGACCACACCCCAGCACGACCACACCCCAGCACGACCACACCCCAGCACGACCCGATCGATAAATCACAGGGTGCGGAGCACCCCAGCACGAACCCACCCCAGCACGACCCCACCCCAGCACGACCCCACCCCAGCACGACCACGCCCCAGCATGACCACACCCCAGCACGACCACACCCCAGCACGACCACTCCCCAGCACGACCCCACCCCAGCACGACCCCACCCTAGCACGACCACACCCCAGCACGACCACACCCCAGCACGACCCCACCCCAGCATGACCACACCCCAGCACGACCCCACCCCAGCAAGACCACACCCCAGCACGACCACACCCCAGCACGACCTTACCACAGCACGACCACACCCCAGCACGACCACGCCCCAGCACGACCACGCCCTAGCACGACCACGCCCCAGCACGACCACGCCCCAGCACGACCACGCCCCAGCACGACCACCCCCCAGCACGACCACACCCCAGCACGACCACACCCCAGCACGACCACACCCCCGCACGACCACACCCAAGCACGACCACACCCCAGCACGACCACCCGCCTTGGTTGAGTGGTGCCTGTCGTGTGGAATGTTTCGTGGGGTGTCTCGTGGAATGTTTTCGCGGGGTGTCTTCGTGAAAGTTTCGTGAGGTGTCTCGTGGAATGTTTCGTGAGGTGTCTCGTGGGCTGTTTCGTGAGGTGTCTCGTGGGATGTTTCGTGAGGTGTTGCCCAGTTGGGTATCATGAAAACGTGTCCATGTTCCACATGTCTATATCCCTTTCCGGGTTCGTGGGTCCATCATGTTTTACGGAAATTCCGATAGATGAAACACCGGGTGAAGTACACATGTTCGTTTCTCGCGGATGTCGTGAGCGAAACGCTTGTTTTGCAGAGTTGGATGAGATGTCTCGAGCGAAACGCTCGCTTTAGAGAAGTGAAGAGGCTTCGGGGCAAAAGGGGCCCACGTGTTTTCACGCTTGCTGCGCTCTGGGGCGAAAGGGGCCCACGTGCTTTCACGCTTGCTGCGCTCTGGGGCGAAAGTGGCCCACGTGTTTTCGCACTCATTCTGCTCTGGGGCGAGATGAGGCTCGTGCATTTTCACGTTCACTGCGCTCTGCAGCGAGAGGGGCCCGCGTGATTTCATGCCTGCGGCGCTCTGGGTCGACGGGGATCCGCGCGTCGTCACGCGTCCTGGCCACCCAGGAGCGGTCCCTCCCTCCCGGACGGTGTTGGCACGCTCCGTCTTGGGGCTCTGGGGGGGGGGGGCCTCCTGGGGTTCCCTGGAGGGAACCCACGCGTCTTCACGCTTATTGCACTCTGGGGCGAAGGGGGCCCGCGTGTTTTCAGGCTTGCTGTGCCCTGGGGCGCGAGGGACCCATGTCATGTCACGCTTGCTGCGCTCTGGGGCGAAAGGGGCCCACGTGTTTTCACGCTCGTTCCGCTCTGGGGTGAAAGCTGCCCGCGCGCTTTCACGCTTGCGCTGCTCTGGTGCGAAAGGGACCCACGTAATTTCACTCTCGCTGCGCTCTGGGGCAACAGGGGCCACATGTTTTCACGTCTGTTCCGCTCTGGTGCGAACACGGCCCACGGGTGTTCACGTGTGTTCGCTCTGGCGCGAGAAGGGCCCGCGCATTTTCATGCTCGCTCCGCTCTGGCGCGCAAGAGACGCATGGATTCACGCTTGTTCCACGTTTTGCCCAGGCGAATCTTGAGCACGAGGATTTGTTGAGGGTGTCTCGAGCAAAACGCGGGCCTCTACGTGCCCAGGCCACCCAGACGGATCACTGACACGGGTATGTGCTGAGGATGTCTGGGGCGAAACGCTCGCTCCGCAGGACCTGTGGAGGATCTCTGGAGCGTGGCCCTCGCCTGCGGCGAACGGCTCCTTCCGCAGGATGTGTAGAGGATGCCCCTCGCGAAACTCTGGTGCTGCCATTGTTTGAGGAGGTCTCGAGCGGGGACCTTGTCGTCGTCTCGGTGCTTTTCGTTTCGATTCGAATTCGCCCCTTGATCGGTGCGTTCCACTTCGGAACTGGATCGCTGGTTGAACGCCCCGCATGTTTCTCCCCCGCCTGTCGTGGTCGCGCTCTGTTCGCTCCGTTGCGGAACTGAATGCTTCGGGCAATGGTTTCGAAACTGAATCAGATCTGGAGCTCGAGCTGGTCGAGCGCCCCGCGCGTCTCGACAAGAACTAGCCCGAGCTATGCGTTCAGGCAATTCGAGCTTAAGATCCAAATCAGTTCGGCCACTGACGCCAAGGACTGCTTGACCCACACTGCAATGGGGCGCGGCGCGGTTCAACGCGGCGTGACACGTTGAACTCAGCACAGAACGGCACAGCACGGCGCAGTACAGCACAGCCCGTGGCACGGTACATCACAATCGTTATTCTGAGCATTGTAATTGCCCGTCGCCCAAGTTTGACGTCTTGGTAACGATGCCATGCTTCACATGTCTACATCCCTTTCTGGATTCGTGGGTCGATCATGTCTTCCTTGTTTCAACCTCCTCATCTTCCTCATCCTTCTCATCCTCCTCCCTCTTCCTTTTCCCTCCTACTCATGCCTCCTCCCTCCTCCCCCTCATCATCCTCGTCCCTGCTCTTCCCGCAGGCCTTGCGAGACGGCCGCGACTACCGCAGGGAACTCCGGAAGCCGTCCTCCTACCACGTCTGGCAGCTGGTGGTCAAAGTCCCCTCTCGGAGCTGCGCTAGGCCCTCCGGGTAGGAGGGGCAGGAGGAGGAGGGAGGAGGAGGAGGGAGGGGGAGAAGGAGGAGGAGGAGGAGGAGGAGGAGGAGGAGGAGGAGGAGGGATGGATGGATGGATGGAGGGATGGAGGGATGGAGGGACGGATGCATGGATGGATGCATGGATGCATGGATGGATGGATGGATGACTTCCCAACGAGATGGCATGTTGAGGCCGCGGGCACAGCGTCTTTAGCAGGGAGCTGCGGGGCCCAGTGGGCGTCCGACGGCAGCGCGGCAGCGTCGGCCCAGGAGGGGGCGTGCCCACTCGAGCGGAGGCGAGGGCGGGAGGGGGAAGGGCGAGAGGTCCGCAGCACGGGCATGCCCAGCTCCGCCTCGTGCGCCCCGGCCTCGTGAGAGGAAATGGCCACGCGACAGCCCGGAAGGCGAACGAAGAGAGGGGGTCCTCCTGGGGAGGGGGCGGACGCGGGAGGAGAGGAGGAGAAGAGCGTGCGGCATGCGAACTCCGTGCGTGCACGTGCGGCGACAGCGGAAGACCTTGCTGTCCTGGCCGCGCGGCCGATGCACGCTCCCAGGATGCGACCCCAGGGCCACCCGTGACAGTGTTTGCCCGGGGACCTGGGGGGGACTGTTCTGAGTGAGTTGTGTTGGGCCCAAAAGTGTCCTGGCCGCGTGGCCGGTGCTTGCTTCCAGGATGCGCCCCAGGGCCACCCATGGCAATTTTTGCCCGGGGGCCTGGCGGGGCCATTTTGAAGGCCGCTGGAGGAGGAGGGAGAGCAACGGTGCCAAGCACTCCGCTACGGATGCCACTCACAGAACTGCGTGTGATTAATAAATTCATGCGTATATTTACAGAATAGAGGCCGATGGAAAGTTGTATATGTAATCAGTCGCCGCTGGGTGATGTGATGGGCGCCTCGGGTGTCAGACAGAAATCGTTGCAGTATCTGTGGCATCATTTCACACTCCCGCGAGCATGGGGGTGGTCGTTTGGTGGAGTTCTTCGGGCCTCAGGGAAGACCCGACTAACCTCGCCTGGGCTTGCGACGCCTTGGTGACGCACCCATCAACAGAAAGTCGCCTACGTAGGCTATAGCGCGCGCGGTGGAGGACTCCATTTGGGGGGTTCCTTCGGGCCAGGGGAGCAGCCCGAACAAACCCCCTGGTTTGTGGCGCCTTGTTGGCGTAACCAGAACAGAAAACGACCGCCCGCGGTGGTAGTTCCGGTGCTGGGGGTTCTTCGGGCCCAGGGAAACAGCCCGAACAACCCACTTGATTGGCAGTTCCTTGGCGATGCTCTGAAGCATCCGACGGCGGGGCCGTCAGGAACCACAGTGTGCATGGCGGTGTGCGGAGCCTTGATGGCACAACCAGCACCCGACAAGGGCGCCTGCGTAGGCTACAGTGCACATGGTGGTGGGCTCCGTTCTTGAAGGTCTTTGGGGCTGAGGGAACAGCCCGGGATACCCCATTGGTTTCTGGCGCTTTGAGGGCGCACCCGGAACACAAAACAGCCGCCCGTGGTAGCAGCTGCATTGATGGGAGGTTCCTAAGGCCAAGGGGCCAGCCCGAACAACCCCCGCGACCTTCAGCATCTGACAGCGGGGCCGTCGCGAGCCACGGTTGCCATGGTGGTGCGTGGCGCCCTGATGACTCAACCGACAACCGACAAGGGCGCCTACATAGGCTGCCGTGCGCAAAGTGGTGGTCACAGTTTGGGGGGGTCTTTCCCCCTTTGGTTTGTGGCGCCTCGTTGGCGCACTCTGAACAGAAAACGACCGCCCGCGGTGGTAGCTCCAGTGCTTGGGGGGCCCTTCGGGCCGAGGTAGCAGCCCGAACAACCCACCCAACTGGCGGTTCCATAATTTTTTGGCGACGCTCTGAAGCATCCAGCGGCGCGGCCGTCAGGAGCCACAGTGTCCGTGGCGGTGCGCGGAGCCTTGGCGGCGCTACCAACCGCCGACAAGGGCGCCTGCGCAGCCTGCAGTGCACATTGTTGTGGACTCCGTATTCGGGGGGCCTCTGGGGCCAAAGGAAAAGCCCGACACGCCCCACCTGGTTTGCGGCCCCTTGCCGGCGCACCTAGAACACGAAACGGCCGCCCCAGGTGGTGGCTGCATTGAGGGAGGGCTGCTTCGAGCCAAGGAAACAGCCCGAACAACCCCAGTGACCTTCAGCGTCCGACCGCGTGGCCGTCGCGAGCCACGGTTGCCATGGTGGTGCGCGACGCCTTGATGACGCAACCGGCAACCGACTACAGTGCGCATGCTGGTGGGTGGTGGGCACCGTTTGGGGGGTCTTTCGGGCCAAAGGAGCAGCCCGAACAAACCCTGAGGTTCGTGGCGCCTTGCTGGCGCACCCAAAAAAGAAAACGACCGCCCGCGGTGGTAGCTTTGAATCTTGGAGGGCTCTTCGGACCAAGCACAGAACCGACCGCCCACGCCATCACCAAAGGGGGGTATTTCGGGCCAACGGAAACTCCAGAATAACCCCCCCAGATTTCGGCGCCCTGGTGGTGTAACCCAGACCATAGGCTGGCAAGGTGGGAGCGCCGTGGGGGGCGCCAGGAACG